ACAGCTCCCCTCTCCTGCCGGTCACTTCTTGTAGCGTGGCCGAGCGCCAACCTGCATTGCCGCGGACTGTGTGGAGGGGGCGGGGATATGAACATCATATCCCTGCTCCCACTGAAGCACACAGCGCGGCTGGTGCCCAGCAGGGGCGGAGCTACGGGCCCCCTTCTATTCAGCATGGGAGGAAGTCCTCCCAAGAAGACTAGAGCAGCAGAAGGCAGAGAGGAGGGGGGCTGGGCAGGACCAGCTCCTCCAACTCCCAACTACCTCAGGCAGCACTCTGGATCCCAGGTAAGCCACCCTCCTGAACCTGTTGGTCTGTGTGTGTATCTATGTCTGTCAGTGTGTGTGTATGTCTGTCTGTTAGTGTGTCTTTGTGTATGTCTATCATTGTGTATGTGTGTATCTGTATGTCTGTCAGTGTGTGTGTGTATCTATGTCTGTCAGTGTGTGTGTATATATGTCTGTCAGTGTGTGTATCCATGTCTGTCAGTGTGTGTGTGTATGTATATGTCTCTGTCCGTGTGTCTGTGTGTATCTAAATGTCTGTCAGTGTGTGTGTGTATGTCTGTCTGTTAGTGTGTCTGTTAGTGTGTCTTTGTGTATGTCTATCATTGTGTATGTGTGTATCTGTATGTCTGTGTGTGTATCTATGTCTGTCAGTGTGTGTGTGTATCTATGTCTGTCAGTGTGTGTGTGTGTGTGTATGTAAATGTCTCTGTGTGTATCTAAGTGTCTGTCAGTGTGTGTGTGTGTGTGTCTGTGTGTCTGTGTATTTGTGTATGTCTATCATTGTGTGTGTGTTTATCTGTATGTCTGTCAGTGTTTGTGTGTATCTGTATATGTGTGTCTGTCTATCTGAATGTGTATCAGTTTGTGTATATGTATATCTGCATGTATCAGTGTGTGTATCTTTGTGTATGTGTATCACAGTGTGTGCGTGTGTGGCAGTGTATGTGTATATGTGCATATATCTCAGCATTCAAACACCAACACTACACACAAATAAACACCTGCATGCAAACGTCAACACTACATACAAACACACCCCTGCATTCAAATGTCAACACTACATACAAACACACCTCTGTATCAAACACCAAAATTATATATAAACACACACCTACGTTCAAAAACCAACACTACACATAAATGCATGCTTGCATTCAAATGCAAACACTACATACAAACACGCCGCTACAATCATACAAACATACTCCATACAAACACATGCTTACAGTCAAACACACAAATACTGCTCCATGCTAAATACAATCCTGCAAGCATGGGGAATCGGTAGAGTCCCAGCTTTCAAAGCATTGTTGAAGTTGCACGACAGATGGGGATCTATCTTTTAGCCATCCTGTGTACATACACAGACCGTCATACAGAGACATACAGTATGTATGTCTCTGTATGACTGTGTGTATGTATTCAAAAGGAATAAACGCAGGCAACACTCCAATAGTACGGATGGTATATTTATTGATAGGTGAACAACCCCAAAGAAAGTGCGTCGTTTCGGCTCAGCAGAGCTGCATGAGCTGAAACATCACACTTTCTATGGGGTGGTTCACCTACCAATACATATACCATCCTTACTATTGGAGTGTTGCCTGCGTTTATTCCTTTTGAAGACTTTACTGGTGGATCCAGCGATGTCCGCCTGACACGTAGCATCCACCACTGTTGATGGCCGGAGCATTTACACGGTATCAGTGTGCAGGGTTCTTTGTTTGTCTGTGTATGTATGTCTCTGTATGCCTATCTCTATGTTTCTTTATGTCTGTCTGTATTTCTGTGAATGCCTGTGTCTGTATGAATGTATGTCTGTGTTTGTATGGCAATGTACCTGTATGTGTAGATTGTATGACTGTGTTTGTTTGTGTGCCTTTTATGACTGTGTGTCTGTATATCTTTGTGACTGTGTGCCTGAAAAATTATGTCTGTGTGCTTGTATGGTTGTGTGTCTGTATGTTTGTGTATTTGTGCATGTATGTATTTTTGCCTGTATGTATGTCTATGTGGGAGAAAAAGAGAGATAGATAGGGGCTGGCGGGGAAGTAAGAAATACATAAGAGGTGTTGTAGGAGACACACTAAAGGGGGGTGTAAGGCACAAAGGGGCCAAAGGGATAAGACATTCAAGAGAGTGGATATGCAACACTAATGGGGGTAAGAAATTCAAAAGGGGGCTACGAGACACAGAGGTGAAGATGCATTGTTTATT